GTGGTGGGAGCCGGGAAGATGGGAGTGTGTGAGTTCGTGGTGGGAGCCGGGAAGATGGAGTGTGTGAGTTAGTGGTGGGAGCCGGGAAGATGGGAGTGTGTGAGTAGGTGGTGGGAGCCGGGAAGATGGGAGTGTGTGAGTAGGTGGTGGGAGCCGGGAAGATGGGAGTGCGTGAGTTCGTGGTGGGAGCCGGGAAGATGGGAGTGTGTGAGTTCGTGGTGGGAGCCGAGAAGATGGGAGTGTGTGAGTTGGTGGTGGGAGCCGGGAAGATGGGAGTGTGTGAGTTCGTGGTGGGAGCCGGGAAGATGGGAGTGTGAGTTCGTGGTGTGAGCCGGGAAGATGGGAGTGTGAGTTCGTGGTGGGAGCCGGGAAGATGGGAGTGTGTGAGTTCGTGGTGGGAGCCGGGAAGATGGGAGTGTGTGAGTTCGTGGTGGGAGCCGGGAAGATGGAGTGTGTGAGTTAGTGGTGGGAGCCGGGAAGATGGGAGTGTGTGAGTTCGTGGTGGGAGCCGGGAAGATGGAGTGTGTGAGTTAGTGGTGGGAGCCGGGAAGATGGGAGTGTGTGAGTAGGTGGTGGGAGCCGGGAAGATGGGAGTGTGTGAGTAGGTGGTGGGAGCCGGGAAGATGGGAGTGTGTGAGTTGGTGGTGGGAGCCGGGAAGATGGGAGTGTGTGAGTTGGTGGTGGGAGCCGGGAAGATGGGAGTGTGTGAGTTGGTGGTGGGAGCCGGGAAGATGGGAGTGTGTGAGTTCGTGGTGGGAGCCGGGAAGATGGGAGTGTGTGAGTTGGTGGTGGGAGCCGGGAAGATGGGAGTGTGTGAGTTGGTGGTGGGAGCCGGGAAGATGGGAGTGTGTGAGTTGGTGGTGGGAGCCGGGAAGATGGGAGTGTGTGAGTTCGTGGTGGGAGCCGGGAAGATGGGAGTATGTGAGTTCGTGGTGGGAGCCGGGAAAAGAGGGGGGGGGGCGTCGGTGGCGAGGGGAGGAGCGAGGGGGCAGTGGCGCGGGGGAGGGGGAGGTGGGAGCCGCCGAGATGAGAGGGAGCGGCGGCTCCCGCGCTCCGAGCGCGGACTCGGCGCACAAAGCGGCCGCTGACAATGTCCGTAATTAGCGTTAACTTTCCGCGAGCCCGCCGGGCCCCGCCTTTTAGCTGAAGGTCAAAATAATAAATGTGTTCCCTAATGGGAGCGTGGAGGAGCAACAAAGCGCTGAGAACACTTTGACACGGCGCCGAAGGGGGGCGGGGCGCCCTGGACCAGAATGAAAAGGCGCCTCCTCCGGCGTGGCGAAAGCGCGGCCCCGGCCAGAGTCCCTCATCTCGCCGCTCCGCTCCCAAGAAAGGAGGGAAGGAGAGGCAGGAGGGAGCAGGGCGGGATAGGAGGAAGGAGCAGAGGCAGGAGGGAGCAGGGAAGAGGGAGCGGAGAGGGTGGCGGGGGGGGTAGCTCCATGCCCCGTAATGAATGCACCGCGCTCTTTGAGTCCGGAATGCGGTTAAGTGCCCGCGCGCTCATTACGCGATTTGTCGCTCCGAGACTCAGCCCGGAGGGAACACTGTGTGCTCCTCCGCATCATCATCATCATCAGCTTCACCTCCATCTCTACATCCTCTCCGTACGCCTCTTCACCCTCTGTCCTCTCTTCTGTGATCCTCTATTGCCCTCCCCTCCTCCCCCTCCCGTGGCGCCGCTCGCCTCTCCCGGACGCTCCTGAACCCGCATCGTGAGAACCTGCAGATTCTGCCTCGGGCTTTTATTATCTCACTGGGGGGAGGTGGGGATGGGGAGGGTGGCAAGGAGGGGGTTTGCGGGAGGGGGCCGTGCGGAGTAAATGTTTCATTAGACTCGTGGACGCCGAGCGGTGCTAGCTCCCCCGGCGCGTAGAAACTTTATTAAAACAACGTCGCCCGCGCAACACGGCACAGCGCCACTCGCGCTCAATGCGATTATGCAGATTCCTGGGAAACACTCGTGGGCCGAGGGGCGGGTGGAGGAGGGGGCGGAGTAAGGGGGCGACGGGGGGAGGCCTCGCAGGGATTGGCGAGGCACCCCGTGCAGCTCTCGGCCTCCTCTGGACTCGTCGCCAGTCGCGGCAAGGAGGGGGAGGAGGAGGAGGATGAGCTCTGGGGTGGTGGGGTTGGGGGCGGGGGCTTCAGAAGGACCCCTTTAATATTTGCAGCACGGCCCCGGCTCATATTGCATTGAAAGGAGCGCAGCGGGGCTCCCTCTACACGGGGGAGAGGGTGAGGGGGAGGGGGTGAGGAGGAGGAGGAGCGGGTGCGGTGGGGCAGATGAAAGCCGCCGCCAGGGCCCCAGGGCCCCTTTCTCTCGAGTCCGCGGCCGGGCCGCTCCTCCTCGCGATCGCCTTTGTTTTGGAAGAGTCTCCCCCCCCCCCCCCCCCCCCCCCCTCTAAACGTGTTTTATTTTTGCACACAGAAGCGTAATTGAGCCGTAAAGGAGCGCGCGAGAGTTGGTCCAGAAAGCCGCTGTTTACACGCTCTTTAAAATGGTATCGTGATTGATGGCCGAGAGGGAATCGGTTTTTTCTTTCATTATTTTTTTTTATTCTCTGAGTCTGCGGGTCTCGAGTGAAGGTGGCGGCAAGGAGAGTGGAGTCGTTCCCCGTTTCTATCACTTTCCCCCCCCCCCTTGACACCCCAACTCTCCGCACCCCTCCCATCGCCCTCGGCAATCGCTGGGTAATGGGGAGGGGGGCTCTGTATGAGACGGGTCGAATCCGGTCGGGTCAATAAAGGTCGACATGGGCCTGCTAAGGTCAAATGGGTCGGGTCGAGCTGCAGGGGCTGTGCGTTAGATAGAGGCGGGATGAGTTAGGTCGGCTCGAGTCTGGTGGAATGGGATCAAATCGGGTGGGGATGGTTCACACCCGATCTGGTCTTGTTAAATAGTCGGATCGGGTCACTGGCCGTGGCCGTCCGCGCGTGCCACTGTGTACGCGTGTGAGCTTTGCGTGAGCGCACACGCAAGGTAAGGTGCACGTGTCTGTTGTGTGTACAGCCCTTAAAGTGGGCAACGCGCGCGCACACTTTACGAATGCACAGCAGTGCAAAGTGTGAACAGTGCACCGTATCACGTGCACACGCATGCGTACACTTCACAGAGCCGTGGGAACTGAGAGAGTGGACTCGTGTTCTATCTAACGACTCCATCATTAACCAAGACCTCGACAATGTTTCTCGCCCTGCTGACTCGTGTCCCGAACCCCCTTATGGGATCGCGCTGATGAATGTCACCGCAGATCGGGATGGATCGCTGCTGCCGTGCGAACAGAGTGGAACAACGAAGACGTCCAGAAATAAACCCCTCGATCGCACCTCCGATTAGCACGGTTGGCTACGTACGGTGCGAAAGAAGTGCAACATGCATACGCACATTCGAGACGCACACATCGCACCTCCTGGCTTTGACATTCCTCCTCTACCAACAGCATCAGAACATTAAAAAAACTAACATCCACATCTCCTTAACAAATGACACATTAAAGACACCAGCCACAGTAAAGCGACTGTGACCATGCAGCCCAAGCTGTGGAACATTCTAGTAAACACACGGATAAACACAGCTAGGGACCGCATCGGAGACCAATGCGCTCCTTTAACGGAGGAGGAGCAGGAACACGATGCGAACTCTGTCTCTGCTGAAGGCCTCTCGTCGTGGCGAGCACAAACCTCGACATTGCCATCGAGCTCCTGAACATATTACTCCCATATGCAACAACAGAATAGTCGATATGAATATGCGTACAACCTGTGTATGTATATTCAAACATATCCTTTCATGGACACGTATATAAAACAGACTGTAAATTAATTGTGATTCTGATTTATATAATTTAAAACATGGTTGGAGTAATTTCACATGCGTGTATGCACGCCACTGTATACTGTCTCGTAAATATCACTCTTGAAAGAGATACACAACGTACTCTCAGACACTCAGAGAGTTCACAGAGCAGTAGCAGTAGCCTTACACTCATAAGGGTGCGCGTTCAATTCCCATTCCCAGTCATCATCCACTGAGTCATCTCTCCTCCGTAGGCGACACAATGAGCACAACTTTTCTTTAAAAATACCAACAGTGTCTGAACGCCCCCGCCATAATAACGTGGAATTACCACGTTGTGTTGGTCACGGATCAGCAAATTGAAAGCAGCAGTCGGGCTGAGTTTCGCTGCGTTGGACCACGAGGGGTCGCTCCATCACGGGGCCGCGAACCCCTTTCTGCCTGCGCGTCGATGGGTACCCCTGCCAAAAGGGGTCCCCAGTGCCGAGAGAGTAGGGAGCCTCTGGTCCCCACCAATCCCCTCGAACTCCCTCGCCACGAGGCTTATGCGCGGATCCCCCATCCGCCCGTGCGCTCGGAGACGCGAGGAACGGGGTCCGCACCCGCGCAGCCACGCCACCTACGGCACTCCATTCCGCCCGCGGATTCACGCCACGCGAACCCCCCCAACCCCGCGCCCTACGGCGCCGTGGGTCAATTCTGTTGCCGATCGGCACCTGAACGTCCCGGCTTGCCAGAATGTTGACGCGCACGCTAAAGCGAAACATGCACAGACGCACAACGCTCCCCGTGCCAAAACCGGCGCCCCGTGCAGCCGCGGAGCGCCGACGTGACGGGCATCCAATTAAGCCTCGCGCGCAGCGGCACGAACTCCCGCCGCTAATTGGCGCGAGGCGATTCCATCGCCTATTAAGCGGCTTGAGAACGCGAGCGAGCGGAATACAATGGTCGCCCCCCCCACCCTCTACCGCCACCCCTCCCAAAAATACAATTATAAAATATAAAAACATGTACAAAATAAAAACCACAATGAGAGTAACACGAGAGATAATCCGCGCGCGTTCGCCAAACGGGGAATGAAGAGGAGGGCGCGCTGGCTGTGTTTGTGTCGAGTGCGCTGCGCGGCGAACTCCCGCGACGCGGAGCGCGGAGCGATCGTGCGCTGAATACGGAGCGAGGCGCGCGCTCGCTCACGTACGCGCACGCGCACACGCACACGTGTACACACTCACACGCACGCGCGCACGCGCACGTCCCGCTCTCCACCTGCGTGTGCCGCGCTCCCCCAGCCCCCTTCGCCGCGCCGCGCAGCTCGCTTCGCCATTTTTGCCGAACTGAGCCAGCGGCGGCTCCGAGCCGCGCTTGCTGCTGCTGCTGCTGCAACCAGAGACCTCGGTCCCGCTTGCTTCATCCAGGTACGGGGTAGATGTCGGGCGGGCGGGCGAGCGGGCGGGCGAACGGGTGGAAGGTCGGGAGGCAAGGAGCGGGGAGGGGGGGAAGAAAGGTCGGACGGTGCCCCGGGCGTTAGCGCTGGCGGGCCCGCGATGGAGCGAGCGGTCGCTGTCGATCATCCCGGAGGGCTCCGGTCCCTGTCCCCTCGCTCATCCGTGGGCGAGGCTGCAGGCAGTTGGATGCGCAACGCGACGCGCGGTTTGGTGTTTCGCGAGGTTGTTTTTATTGTTGTCTCTCTCCTGCGGCTAAAGACGCTCGGTGACAGAGCGAGCGTCCTGTCATCGTGGTGTGTGTGTGTGTTTGCGTGTGTGCGTTCATTTACGCTGTGTGTATGCGTCTACATAAACAACCACGTACGCACACGATGCGGGTGCACTACGCGCACATGCACACCACGGACGCAGTAGATGTGCATCGCCCTACCACAACATGGACTCACGCGCATGCGACGCGCCTCTATTGTGTGGGTGATGGACGACGGGGAGATGCGCCGCGTGTAGACACACACGCACACAGCTCGCCTAATTTTATACCGCATGCCACAACCGCAGCCACATTCTGTACGGATACATCTCTCGGACGTCGCTATATGCAGGCAGGCAGCAGCAGCCTGCGCGTCGTCTGCCGTCCGGCCCGAAAGGCACAGCGTGCGTACCTTTTTGTATGCTGCCCTATGGCCATTGTCATCAACATAACCTGTGCATCAAAATGGTTGACGCACGCGTAGCTCTTGCCCGTCTCGTTTCCCCGGCTATCGGTTCAGGGTCAACGATTGTTTCCCCGCCCCCCCCCATAGCGGGTCGCCGGGCGTGCGACTCGTGAACGAATTTCCGGAGCGAGGGCGGCGTCTCGCAGCTGCGAGCTGTGAAGGCGAAACAAAGGCGGGTGGGAGCAGTCGCGGCCGTCTTGACGGACGCCCTGCGCGCGCGCGCTCGCGGCAAATGATGATGATGATAAACGATGATGTGGCGCTCGCGGTGTCGAAGACTAGCGAGAGCATGGCATCACCGGCACGGGCCATCATCATCGATGGCCATCACGAACACCGACCATTACCATTGTGTTCCATCGACAATGGGAAGCATCATTATCATCATTAATCATAACTACCTTCAATCAACGGCAACCACCACCATCATCATCACCACCACCACCATTCAAAATCAAAAACGTTATAATCAATCATCATTGATCGTCAATCACAACAACAAGCGTCATCGGCGTCGTCATGATCATCAAAAAATAATCGTCACCAGTAATCGGTCATAATCATCGATCATCATCATCACGAGTCCACGGCATCGTTCCGCCACCGCCGTGGCTGCCGCTCCGAGCGATGACATCACCACCCACCTCGCACCTCCACGATGACATCACCACCCACCTCCACGATGACATCACCACCCACCTAGCACCTCCACGATGACATCACCACCCACCTCCACGATGACATCACCACCCACCTCGCACCTCCAAGATGACATCACCACCCACCTCGCACCTCCAAGATGACATCACCACCCACCTCGCACCTCCACGATGACATCACCACCCACCTCGCACCTCCACAATGACATCACCACCCACCATCACGTGTAACCATCAGGTGTACCCATCACGTGCAACCATCAGGTGTAACCATCAGGGGTAACCATCACGTGTAACCATCACGTGTAACCATCACGTGTAACCATCAGTGGTAACCATCACGTGTAACCATCAGTGGTAACCATCACGTGTAACCATCACGTGTAACCATCAGTGGTAACCATCACGTGTAACCATCAGGTGTACCGATCACGTGTAACCATCAGGTGTAACCATCAGGGGTAACCATCACGTGTAACCATCACGTGTAACTATCAGGGGTAACCATCACGTGTAACCATCACGTGTAACCATCACGTGTAACCATCAGTGGTAACCATCACGTGTAACCATCACGTGTAACCATCACGTGTAACCATCAGTGGTAACCATCACGTGTAACCATCAGTGGTAACCATCACGTGTAACCATCACGTGTAACCATCACGTGTAACTATCAGGGGTAACCATCACGTGTAACCATCACGTGTAACCATCACGTGCAACTATCAGGGGTAACCATCACGTGTAACCATCACGTGTAACCATCACGTGTAACCATCAGTGGTAACCATCACGTGTAACCATCACGTGTAACCATCACGTGTAACCATCAGTGGTAACCATCACGTGTAACCATCACGTGTAACCATCAGGGGTAACCAACAGGGTGATCACCAACGTGTTGTTGTCAGTGCTGTGGTGGAAATTGTTGAGCGCGGAGCGGGGAGGGGCTCGGGAGGGTGGGGGGTGGGCTCCAGCCCCTCCCCGCAACTTCCAGACAAGCTACACACTGCGGGACTGCGTGGGTCCCATTGGCTGGTCGGTATCGGCCCCATTGGCTATTCCATACTGACCTCAATGGCTATTCGGCATCGGATCCTATGGATATTCTATATTGATCCCAATGGCTATTCGGCATCGGATCCTATGGCTTCTATATTGATGCCAATGGTAATTAACATCGGCCCCATTGGCTCTTCCACCTAGACCCCAATGACTTCTTGACATCGGCCTTATTGGCTCTTCCATATAGACGCCAATGGCTATTTGGCATCGGCTCCTCTGGCTTCCATATGGGTCCCAATGGCTACTTGACATCGCCCCTATGGCTATTGGAGATGGCTTCTAATGCCTCTATTTCCCCCTAAAATATTCAAAACCCATCCCTCGCGCCTGACCCTTGTTGTTGTTGCAGACTGTAGGCCCTGCAAGCACTACTACCACAGTGCAGCATGGTGAAGGTGGGAGCCGGGCTGGGCGGGAAGCCCTGTGGAGATGGCGGGGTCCCTCCCGGGGCCCCAGAGGGACCCCCGTCGTGGGAAGGGGAGGGCTCTCCGGCACTCATGTCCCCGCTGGACGTGACGCAGCTGCATTACCCGGTGCCGGACAAGGTGAGAGGGCCGCTCGCCACCACCACAGCCACCACTATCACCACAACCACTAACACAACCACCAACACAATCACCACCATCACCACCACAACCACTAAAGACAAGATCTCCCGTAAAGCCTATGACAGACTGTCGGGGCAAGTGCTGTTCGCGAGTAGCACCTATGAAGGCCAGCAAGGCACACGAGTGGACGAGCCTGACCGCTTTTGTCTCCCCCATTGGCGATGTTTACACATCGCACCAGATACTCATGTTTGAGGCTGAGTCGACGTAGGGGAGGCCAGTGGACCGGTCCAGATAATCGTCACTGGTGTTGGCCGTCAGCGGGAATCGAACTCGGGTTGCCGGGTTCGTATCGCAGTTTGCTAACCGTTACACTTCCGCTTCCCCCCATCACCACAACCATCACCACAACCACCACCAAAGCCACCCCCACAACCAACTCCATCCCTACCACCACCTCCACTACAACCACAACCACCCCCACCAAATCCACCCCCAACACCATCACCACCACCACTGTCACTGCCGCCAACACCACCCATTCGCAACATCCATTATTTAGGCGAGAGCTCGTGGCTCGTGTACGCGAGAGTCTCGCTCACAGCAATTCCTAAAATTCGTCTCGGGCATCCCCTGGATGAAGTGCACAGCGCTCCCTCCTCGGCAGCAGTGCTCAATTAAATATTCAGCAGCGTCTGGTCACGTGCTGCCAAGAGAAGAAGACCACGTAGATCTGTGCCCCCCTGCCTCTGTGCACGCGGTGCCCTCCAGCCGCCTCCCGCATCTCTACCCCAGCTCTCGCACGCACGCAACCCGGGCATCGGTACAGCCAAGGGGTGGGCGATGGGGGCGGTCCATTCCACACACAGAACTGCAATAAAATGCAATTTTGATTCATCAGCCTTTGTGCCCTGTGGGAACATTTTTCGCAGATCCCATGTCTCCAATAAAACAAAAACATCGAAGCTTAAGTCTCACTGGGTTCTCCTCCTGGTTATAATTAACGACCTGCCGCTGGGTGGAGCGGGCGATGTGCGTGTAATTCCGTGGGATTTACTCTGCTTGCTAGGAGTGTTTCCGAGCGAAGGCCCCACCCGTCTCTGAACGTTTGGGATGCTTTCCCATTAAGAAAGTGTCCCAACCCGTGAGAACGAAGGGGGAAAGTTCCTTGCCAGGTTTGAAATCCGGTTCCATTTTCAGATTTGCGCCATAATTCCACTGGCGAGTTCGCAGAGAAGGCGATTACACCGTCGCAGATACAGAGTTGCCGGGGGGCGAATGCGATATCGTGAGCGAGCGAGGTGGCGTCTCTGAGCCACCGCTCTGGAGGCAAGGTGTGTGTGGTGGATCACGGAGAGATTTGTGAAATTCTGAAACCCACGCGGGTTTTAAGTGGCTGGGACATAGCAGCACAGTGAAGTGGGATCGTCAGCCCGTTTGTGTGAACCTTTCGTGTTACTGCCCTCGTAATGTGGAATGGTTTTCTCTGCTTCCTCCGGTTTCCCCGACTGGACATGTGAAAAAAAGAGCTTCATAGCTCATCGGATTTCTCCAGGAAAACTCCATTGCCCAAATACCACAAAGCAGGACCAACCTGAAACAGGTGCCTTGGGATACCATGAGGATTTCTGTGATAAAAAAAATAACGTAACAAAAAATACATTATTACAGTTCGTAACGCTGTACATATATACGTGACATTTCCACTTCGCTTACTAATTACGGAAACACTGTGATCACATTTGGTCTAAACATGAGCAAACAAATACCAAAGAGGCACTCGGGGGCGATATTGAGAGGCTGCGAGCCATGGGGGACCCATGTGGAGTGGCCGGGGGGGACCCTTGAAGGATATTAATTGAAGAGACAGAGCATATGGTTTGCTCCCTGTCCAACCGTTATGACCGGGGTGGGTGGGTGGGCGGGTGGGGGGAGGGGTTCCTTAGGTGGCAGTGTTATTGACGAATGTGCCGAGTTGTTACTCGCTGGCTCTGCTCGGCACGCCTCCTGCACGCACGAGTTCGACGCCGGCCCCGGGGGCTGCGCACCAAATTACACTCGGAGATTATAGCGGGGCGACGCCAATCAGTTCGCCACTGGCAATTAGCGAATTCACTTCGCCTAGACGTTTGCGAATGTGTCCCGGCTGTTTGTTCTGTGGGGGGTGGTGGTGGCGGGCTGGGGGTTAGCTGGTGGGTTCGGGGTATGGGTCATGACACGTGGGTGATCAGCGCATGCAAACACGTCGCAATTGGGATCGCACGTACCAAACGTTGATTCATGTTACGATTTCAACTTCGTGTTTATATTATTCGAGCGCGTCAGTGGAACCCGGGTGGAGAGATGTTCATCCAGCAGTGGATTGATCATGGCTGATGATCACGATTGCATTGTTGCAGTATGTCATCATCCACACGCGTGGCTTCAGTGCTCTCTCTCTCTCAACATGAAAGTTTCTCTCACATCACAGGGGCACTAACCCCCCCCCCCCCCCCCCCCCCCCCCCCCCCCCCCCCCCCCCACTGCCATCGCCATAAATAATACACGCTCGATAATTTACCACAAATGCATTGAAAAGGTCACGGCCCAAGAAAGATCCCGTCGCGACCGTAACAGAGGAGATGCCGCTGCCAGACAGAGGCGGGCGGTGCGAGGGGCGCTTTAACGAGTGAGCGTTAGAGCGGTGAAAGCGCGACAAACCAGCGCCAGAGAGCGCGGCGTGCCCCCCACGGCCACGGCCGCGCCCGTCCGCCCCCGAGGCACAATTTGCCTGGTGCGGATAAATGTAACATTATCCATAGTCCTACCCGCTCATGAAATATTAATCCATTAATAACCAATGTAAATGACTGTCACCGGGAGTTATTAATGCGGCACGGGCCCGTCCGTCGAGGGTTCAGCCGGGTTATTGGCCGATCCATCTCATTTAGCGCCAATGCACTTGGCGCCCACGTGCGCGGGGTACAGATGAGAGGAGAGCGAGAGAGAGAGAGAGGGGCGCGCGCGGTGGCGGTGCATTCCAATTGGTGCTGCTTTGGATTCAAGGAGAATCGATTCGCGGGCGAGGAGGCTCGAACTCCAGGTCGGAGGGACCTGGCGACAAGCTGCCTCTGCCACGGCGTAGTCGCGAGGCACGGGGGTGACCTTTTGAAATGATAATTGCCAGCTTCGCTCTATGCTCCTCGCCCATCCCCCCCAGCCCTCCGATGCCCCTTCCGGCTCTCGAGGCGTCTATAAGCCCCATCCCCCCCCCCACCACCTGTTTTGCACCGAGGGATGGTGCAGTGCAGACCATACACTGTCGAGCGTTTTTGCGATCACGGTTGCTGACCACGGTTGCCCCCCCCCCCCAAACAAGGCGAAGTGGCCAGTGACAAAGAGTGCGAGTGATGCTGGGATGGACCGCGGAGTGTTTCGTGCGCAGACATCGGCTGGGCATGACAGGCGAGAAACCCAGCAGACAGGAACGTGAGCGCAGGCTACAATAAAAGGACTCGTACAGGTCGTGATAATAATAATCCACGCCGCGCGTGGGATTTCTCGAGAGCAGAAGGCGTGATTGTGACCACGAGGTCGGTCCTTCCATGAATCAAGCCTGCCAGGTGACATCGTCACCACGCTGCGTACATAATTCACACAGCCTCGTTCCAGATCACGTACCGAGCCAAAAAGAGCCAGCGTTATGGCCGTATTGCTTTTCGAATCTGCAACGACCAGGAATCCCAACCACAATACAACTATCGGTGCCGGCTGGAAACAGAATAGATTTGACAGCACACAGAGCTCCAGGTGCATGTAAGTACAAGCCTCTCAGCCTCATGCAGACCGGCGTTGCAACGAGAAAATGGTCACACATGCAGTTCTTTGGAGCTGGTGCTCTGCATGAGCCTGAAAGTGTTTGCAAATGCAAGCACCCATCTGTGCGTCGTTAAATCCATATAAAATAACCACTACGTCAACACGAACCATGCCACCTGAGTTCGAATCCCAGCGACGGCTAACATCAGTGGTGAGTGATATCAGAACGTGTCCTGGGCCTCTAGGTCGATAAAGCCCTACATGAGTACCTGGTACGGTATTTAGAATTGGGGTGGTACTCACCAATGCACCTCTTCGTGCCCTGGGCAGGTCTTCATAGGCGTTTGCTAGCAGCTCTTGCCTCCGCAATCTGTTTGCAGGCTATACTGGGGGTCTCTGTCCTTTGTACGTATATATGTATGTACGTGGTGGCAGAGGCTGCGTTCCAGGCACATGCGTGAGCTGTCAGATCGTTACATCGTTAGGCGCGAACAAGTGTTCAATTAATTACGTTTTGAATGGGGCTGGCAAAGCAGCTGTCACAACAGCGAAGAGGATCAGTTTCACTGGCGAAACCGACACCGCACGCTGCCTCCTCGCTCTCCTTGCAAAATCGATGCCTGTTGCCGCGTGGTGTCCCTCCTTGCTTTCTCTCTCTCTGCACCTCCCGTTGCCTCCTCTTCCCAAGATTATCATTAAGACCAGGACAAACTTCCAACCACAGCCAAAGAGGAGAGGCAAACTCGGGATTCCAAACGTCACGGAGTTCACGGTGAACTTCAACGACAGCGCCTCCGAGAAGTTTAAGGTAAGACATTGAGTCGCCCCCCTCCCCCCGTCGTCTATCCCGTGAACAGGATTTATGAGCCGACCATGTCCAGCTGCATGAGACGCTGGCACCTTTCCGACGATTAAACCCAAAAGCACAAGTGAAATAAGAGAAATGAGTTCCATACATCAGCATTTAGACGTATTGGCGGTGTACACCGGTGCCACATAACACACCGGTCCCCATCAAACAGTTTGAAATCATCATTTGAACTGACATTCGTCTTCCGACTGCTTCGACATCACGATAATTGATTCTGATGCACCCTGGAAGATTTTCTGACTGGGGTTGCAAATCGCGGGGTTAAAATCAATCATTATTGCGGATTTTTTTTAGATATCGCGCACAAATGTACCGCCAATAAGTTAATTTGTTTAATCAGGCAAATGCTGGGCCTGTTTCGACCTCCGCAATCTTGTCAGCAGAGTCAGCGGTGTTAATTCTCCCAGATGTTATTGGCATGCGCCGTCCACATTCATGGTGCGGCTCATTCAGTGTACATACAACATCAAAATCCGTTTAGAACTCGTACACTTTAAATAGGCAATAATTGCCACAGAGACTGTATGAGAAAGCAGGGCTGTTACTAATACACACACCCTAGTAAACAGGCGCAACAATTCCTATAGTTGTATGATGTTCAATGTCAAACAATGTTGGCCCAACGTCGTATGTATTTGGTGACTAGGACGTGGGTTCAGATCACATCTTGACAAAATGCCCGAAACGCATCGCCAAGAGCCTGTGCCTGGGTGATGTTGCCGCCTTTTTGCTGGCTGGCAGTGACATTTGCGCGTTTTGGACCAAAAACAAATCTCAGACGGAAATGAAAGTGGGCCGGCGTCGCGTGCACGAGGGTTTAACCACCCGCGTTGACAACCAGGTGACAAAATGGCGGCTGCGGCCCAACATGGTTGTCAGGGGCAACTAGGCCTGTGGCGTCACCACGTGGCTTCTCAGCAAATCACTCGTGCACGATGGTCACGATTGCGACACGGTCACATCGACAAAGGGAGAACGCCTGCGATTGTTCGCGTTCATGGTGGTTTTCGGGAATGGGTGAAAACCACATTTTTGCACGTGATGCACGCGGTAATGGTGGATGAGTAAGTGGTTCCACTGGGCAGGCAATTACATGGGCATTGTTGTGGTGTGGATGGGGACTGGGTTGGTTCACAATGGAGGGTGGTGGTGGGGGGGGGGGGCGGCTGAGCTGCACAGATAATGCAGACAAGAAGAACATCCATTAGCAAGCAACTGGGCAAGCATTGTAATACAGTGGCACGCGAGCGAGTAGACAACTGACACAGCTCACCCGCCGTGGTAATTATCGCCGCACTGCAGCTGAACGTCTTCCTCGTTCGGCGTGTGACGCTTCTGCATGCGTTGGTAGATTCAAATAGAGCATTATCGGGTCACGTTGCGCTTATACGAATATATTATTTACGTTTGTGCACTAAATATTTATATTATGTGCTTCTTTTACATTTATGCTGGTGGTTCGGCCACTGTGCAATCGGGACAAATGTCGCAATTTTAAAGAGACTGACAATGAGGTTCAGAGTAATAGATAACTTCATCGAATATTGACATAATTTCGTGATCATCATTCATAGAATCGATGGGGGGGGGGGGGGAGGAGGATGTTGTTCAATACTGTCTTGTAAGCTAACGTTTCTGACTACTTTGCTTCTGAAGGAGTTGCGTTTTTATGCTTGTACATCATTGCCAGCATGGCTCCCTTTTTGTTTTAATCTCATTCCAACACAAGCATGTTCCTGAAAATGAATCTTGAGACTCACCCAGGTAGGCCACGGAGGCGAGATGTTACCTCCCTCGCCTGGTATGCAGGAGGTCGTGGGTTTCATCCAGACTCTGATGCCTTCTGCTGTATATTTGGAGTTTGCATGCTCTCCCTGTGGTCGCGTGGATTATTCTCTGGGTCTTCCGGTGTTTCCCGTCACATTTAGAATCATGCGCTTAGATTATTTGGCCCCTATACAATTCCAGAAAAGCCACTTTGTTGAGCTATCATTTGTGGCCAGGTCACTTCTGAGAAAGAGCTATACAGCTCAGTGAGCCTTACCTGGTAAAATAAAACATTGTTTAATAGTTTAGTGTCTGTGTACATTGTGAAGGATGTGAGATTATTGCGATTATTTTCAGCTGCTGACATCCACGGTCATGAGAGAGTGCATTAGGTGCTCACTCTGCGTCTGCTATTCTCTAATCCTCTTATGTTATTAAATGTTGGAAATTGTAATGTAGTCTCATGCATCCACTGAGCTTCTCATTAGTACAATGGAAATGTGTACTTAATTTTCCTTTGGTTCTTTCGGTAAAGTCACGTAGAATGAGAATAAAATAATAAAATCAGACAATAAAATTCTCACGACGTTTCGGCCACAACACAAGTAGCCTTCATCAGGTGAAAGAACAGAACTGTCGGGACGACAGTGCTCCAATGAGCGTTGTTAAGATTCGTAGCGGTCTTTTTAAGTTCGGTGAGAGGTGTGAAACCTCTTGACAAAGGAGTTTAAGTATCAAAGCAGGAGAATTTAGCATTGAAATAGCTGAGGGATTAGCTTGTGACAGAAATAGCTATGTTAAAGTCACAGTTTACCTATCAACAGAGGCATTTAGTATATGGACGCTAAAGGCCTCCAACTATCCAACTTTCATACAGTAAACCAATGTGAAAGAACTACATACACTCTGCAACATACACACGAACTCCTATACACACAATCATGAACACACGCACTCACTGAACTGACACACACACAAACTCATACATGCACACACATTCTTGAACTTACACCCATCAGCTCATAAATAAAATGTAAATGAATTCGCTCACAAACATACGAACTCACACACACACACGAGCTTTACAAACATAACGCACGACGTTCAATGCAGCACGCAACAACAACCGCCGTTCACCACTCAGTGGCGGTGCCGTGACCACGGCGCTTGTGCCAGGCTAGGTGCACTTTTAGGCCACGTGAAGTGTCGACGGCTCGCTGCTGGCAGGAGGTCACGGGACAGATCCAGGTGCCATGGGTCGCCCCACTGAGATGACTGACAGATGCAGCAACTGCGCTCCCCACTGTGGCAACTTGCTGCGATGTAGCACAAACGCACACTCACTCGACAACCCACGTGTGCGTCCACAGCTCACTCTGCTGGTGATGTTCGGCCTCGCGTTCCTGGCCTGCGTCGTCTTTCTAGTCGTCTACAAGGTGTACAAGTACGAACAGAGCTGCCCAGAGGGCTCCTACCTGCAGGTACGTGCCTAGCCATACATTCAGCGGTGGGCATTCCACATTGCTATGGCGAGAGCTATGCGATCAATTCAACGATTACAGAGCATTGCAACTGTAGATAAAAAAAATAAGGAATGGATTTAGCTTTGAATTTAAATATGAGCAGGGAGTTAACGGCACGGATGGAAGGGAGAAGGGGCTTCCAGAGGCAGCAAAGAGAAGGAACGATCACCCACTGAGCGAAGGGTGACTGGGGGCTTCGACAGGAAGGGTTGCTGGAGCGAAGCGGGGAGTAGAGTGAGATGAGAGGAGAGAGGTAGGAGAGTGCGTGGAAGATGCAAGGAGGCAGAGACAAGTCCATGGGGTATCTTGAAGATGGCGAGTGCGATCTTGAAGTTGATCGTGGATCCATTTGGGAACTGGTACGGGTGAAGAGTGTGACAGCGGCATATTGGATCAGCTGGAGTTGGAGATGAGGGATTTAAGGGACGGGGGGGGGGGGGGGGAGGCGTCGAGTGGTAACAAATATTGATCGACCACGGAGGTACGAGCGGCTGAGTCGACTTCCACACATCACGTCGCCACGTGGCGCGATGTGCACCCGGAGGCCCCGGCGCCCAGCATCGCGGAGCGGGCTGCAGTCCTTGCGGTGTCCCGATACCACCGCCTCGCCTCTGCCATTTTCATGTCCTGTGGCATTTGTAACCCGTCAATATCTGTATTAACCAACGAGTAACGTTCTCGTACCACACACGACACGTAATAGATTTTAACATTCACGACATCTCGCTGGTTTATTTTCGTTAAGCGAAACTTAAGCAACAATCATCGCATTTTCTCGCCCTCTGCGCTTCTCGTCGTCTTCTTACGCTCACGGACACTCTCAGGGATTCCTGTGATGTCATGGATGTTCTCGCTCTGTGCTGATGCACCACGGATCTCCCTTGTACGTCTCGCTGGGTAACTGGCTAGACGGGATTTTCTGTGAGACAAATACGCATTGGATTGACTCCGTATCCTTTCCTCGTCCACCTCCTCCTCTTATTCTGTTTCCCTGTCTGTTTCCGGCTCTTTTTCATCTCCCACCACCTTGCCTCCCTGCTGTATATCCACGTGCATCCCAACACCCCCCATCGTCTCGTGTCCCCCTTTCCCTACCTTGCACATTCTCTCAATCCGTCTCTCCCTCTCCTGTTTCCTGCTGCATCCCTCTCGACCCACGACCCCCCCCCCCCCCCCCGACTCTCATCTCCCCGTATGCCCCCCCAACCCCAGCACAAACGCTGCGTGCCCGTGGGGCTCATGGAGTCGTACTACGCTGGGGAGGGGGTGGAGCCCCCCGGCCGCTTCCTCACGCTCGTCAACCGCTACACCGTGGTGAGGCAGTCCCTGTCGCACACCGCCTCCCACCAGCCCGCGGCCCGGGACAACAACAACAACAACGACAACGATGACGGCGGTGACGACGGCGACGACGCAGGAGCCTCGCCCTGGGGGGGCGGCGCCGGGACTGAGATCGGGGCCGAGGGCAAGGGCGTCGCGGGGGTCGCGGGGGGCACGCCCCCCCCGGCCAGGCTGGAGGAACCCAGCGCCTCCGTGTGACGTGGCTGCGGCGGCGGTGGTGGCGCGCGTTTCGATTCGGCGCACGCACACGCACGCTGGGGCGCAAAGACACGGGTGCACGCACGGGATAGCGATCCACGCACACAGCACACAGCGCATGCACCCGCACGCGTGCACACGCTCACACGCACGCACCACGCACGCACTCATGCGCACGTGTGGACACGCACGCCGTGCGCGCGGGGGTGAGGCCACGAGCGGTGATCGACCGGACACGCACGCGGCTGCCGCTGACACGCGCGCAGATTTGGGAAATTTGAGCCCGATTTGTCTCCTCCTTCTGCTCGTTCCGCTTCGCCTCGCCCCGTTTATTCGCGGTCGGCAGCCCTGCTTCTGATCCTCCAATTCTGCTCGTTTCTCACTCTCACCGCTCTCCTTTTTTCTTTTCTTCCGAAGGATCCCCTTAACGCCCTCGTTACCGCTGCTGCTTGGCAGCTCCCAGCGTTCAGACCCACCTACGGTGACCGGTTTAACCGCGTTCGCGTAGATCTTACTTTTCTACCTGCCAGGAATCCGCAATGTCACGGGTAATTTCCTGTCACCTCTCCACGTGCACCAGCCACTCTGAATCCGATTCCTCACATCTGCACGAGTCACATTGTTCTGTATTATTCATTGCTAGCGACACGACAATACTGTAAGGAGCCTTACTGCTACTCGTGAGCATTAATTTATTGACGTGTGTGTGTGTTCAACTGGTATTTATGTATTTCTTTGATTAGCTAGTCGCGTATTTATTTATTTATTTATTGGCTTACTTGATTGGAGCGCTTATGAAACAAAAGCGCGCCTTGAGCCGAGAGGTTTGCTTGAGAATGACGGAGGGTGCCGGGGACGAGGGTTCGTCGATCAGAAGCCACGAGGTAGGACGCGTTGCGGACATGCGGTCAGAGACACCGGCCCATCACGGGGAACCCTGGCGACTCCAAGGGGAGGGGGCGATGGTGGAACGCGTGGCGGTGCACGTGTCGATCACCAACCCCGCACATCCCTCCAGCGGCCACCGTCCCATAGACACCACGTCACCTCCTCCTTTGCGTTGTGTTTAACTCTTTTATGATACTGACTTGTCGCGGCTTGGAGTTGTTCAGTGGCATCCGGCTCAACACTTACGTATTAATGACAAGTGTGCTTTGGTGTGGTAGGCGATGCTGTGTATAGCTCCAGTGGGTGATGACGGGACAGAGGGGGTAGGGGCGAAGGTAAGAGCGAGACTGCTCGGTTTGATCCCCGTTGCAGAGAAATTAAGAGGTGGGGGTGGGTGGAGGTAGTGGGGGTAGTGGAGGGGTGTCGTTTGGTTTAGAGGCAGTGTCGGCTCGTGGCTCCAGGTTTAGGATGCTCCACACATCACCCCGAGTTTTCCAGCCTCGGGTGACAAGTGCCAATATATTTTCTGAGTAACTGGAATGCGAAGGTGACAATGTGAAGATGCTGATGGTGCGGATGATGATGGCCCAATGTAAACCAACTCTGCTGGTAAGAATAGGTTAATGTTATTTTGAACCCAGTCTCCTCGTGGCAAGCCCTCTAAGCGAGCCCTCTTCCGAGAGGTCCTCACCGCCAAAGCCCCCACGCCCAGCTGCATCCTCAAGTCTCAAAAATAGCGGTCGAGGCTGTGGCCGAATCCCTGCACCTCCTCCACCCACGAGGTTCTCTCCAGCTCAGAGAACCTGGTGGGCAGAGTCAACCAAGGGGAACGAGGAGGAGCCACGTGCTCGAAGTGCCGTGGTTGGTGTTACCGTATCGAGCAGATATTAAATCTCATCTCGTTGTTCTGCAGTAGCCGATGGTTAGACACACAAAGTCATGAATCGATCTTCCCAGGAGAACTGGCCTGCGGAGAGCCCAGCACTGGTGCATCAACACCATCATCATCATCACCCGTTGCCTTCGCGTTCCAATCATCAACGAACTCACCTGCGCGTGTCACCCGAGACTGGAAATCTCGCGGGGGATTATCGCCTCTTGAACCTGGAGTCCCGAACTCGCCGCTGCCTGCAGTTGTGTTTCAGGGGGGTGCAGGCGCGTGTACTCGGCGCGGCTCCCAAGTGCGAATACCCTCATCCTTTGTGTACTTTGTGAGTTTCACATAAGTCTGGGCACTACCTCCGGCGCAGCCTAGGAGGAGGATGGTTCTGAATGGAGGGAGAGGCGGGTGGTCGTTGCTGTTCTTCAGGGGTTGGCCGTGTACTTCAGAGACCCACTGCTTATAATCTCCACGGACTCCGTAGCCGTAACCATGAAGGGCGCTACCGGAAGAGAAAACAACCGAAGGGAATTAAGAATTAAATCAACTTGCAACTGCCCCTCCCCCCCCGCCGCGACTGCGGGGCGTGGTAAAAATACAAAACGCAGCCGCGACCAATAATCAGAGTTGGCTTTGGGGCTCAGAGAGAGAGAGAGGGTGGCTGTGGGCGCGCCGCGTCGCCGCGCGTGTGTGCACGTGTGTTGAACTTCTTTCGCACCGCACGTAGCCAACCGCGCTCATCGGAGTGTCGGGGGAGGACAGCGGACGGGCGTGAGAACGAGGGGTGAGGGTTTCTGTTTGGTCGCAGCAGTTTATTTAACATACGTTTCCCCCCACCCCCCACTTCAGCTCCCGGGCAAGTAACTGCCCGCGTCTCAGACGATGATGTTTGCGGGATGGCGCAGGCGAAACTGGAAACAGCCGGGGTTCTTTAGGGGGTCCATAGAGGTGACGCAGCGACCCCCCCCCCAAACACCCAGATACACCTGTGGGATTAAAACGGCGAGCTGGGGGGTGAGGGTACCTGGGCGCCACGGTGGCGAGATGTTAACTACCTCGCCTGGTATACAGGAGGTCGTGGGTTCGAACTGACGCCTGCTGTATATTTGGAGTTTGCGGTGTCTCTCTCCCCGTGGTCGCGTGGATTATTCTCCGGGTTGTCCCCTCCACATTTAGACTCAACGTCACGCGTTCGGAGTATTTGACTGCCGTAAATGTCCACACGATAAAGCCACTTCGTTGAGCTATCACGTGTGGCCAGGTCGCTTCTGGGAGAGAAAAAAAGGAGCTACATCGCTCAGTGGGCCTTACCTGGTTAACATTTGAAGATAAAAGGTGTAATAGTTTAGTTGAACCTGGGTACAAACAGGGGAACCCCGCAATGATGAGACCTCTTGTCGTGTTGGTCGCAGGCCCTCCCCCTCGCCCGCGTGAATTCGTTCTCGGCAGCCTCCGCCACGGCCGTTAAACTTCAGCGCGAAGGCCCTCCAGGTGGGGTCGGGGGGTGGGCCCCTCTGTGTGTGTGTGTCGGGAGACGCGTCTAGTCGTGACGTTTATTTAGCTTCTTCAGGCTCACGCACACCAATCGTGAACGTAGATCTCAGTGCAAAGCAATTGTTGGCTCGTTTGAAGTAGTGTGTGACGTTTAAATGTACCCCCCCTCCCATCCGTAATAAATAAATAAACACACCATTCAACAAACACCCCGCTCGCGTTTCGGCGGCGTCTTTGAACGACGACGTGCATTGTTCTTGATATGCTTGATTCTTTCGGTAAAAATCACGTCGAAGGGAAACAATAAAATAATAAAAATATAAAACAATAAAATTCTCACGACGTTTCGACTGCAACACAAGCAATCATCATCAGGTGTGAAACCCACAGCAAGAAAATTTGAAAAAAGTTGGCGGTTTTTTTTAACGGTAGCACCACGGAGAGCGATTTGGCAGCTATTCAGATGGACGAGTCCATCTACGTTCGGATAAGAGGAGGGGGGAGACGAAAATAATGGATGCGGTCTGAAAGCCACCGTAAGCGTGAACAATCAATTAAGACCCGAAATGGTTGATCAAATCCTTCCAATGATTGCTAAGCAAAGAATCCATCTTCTCGTTTGAAATTGTCTCTGTGTTTGTATATGTGGATAGCCTCATGAACGAATCTCTCATGGTAGCCAGATAGCTTGCAGAGAACCTCTGTCTTGGAGAAGTCAATGTCATGTGAGCCTACTCAATTATAACAGTGATCTGCCACGGCCGAGGTGTTGGTCCTACCGTGTTTTAGGTCTGCTTTGTGTTCACGGATGCGGTCCGAGACGTCGTTTGATTTCTCCAATGTAACTACTACCACAGAGGCAACTTAGTTTGTAGACGCCAGGGTGCTGTATGTCCGGAATCACATCTTTTACAGATGTCTACAGACGGTAGGACCAACACCTCGGCCGTGGCAGATCACTGTTATAATTCAGTAGGCTCACATGACATTGACTTCTCCAAGACAGAGGTTCTCTGCAAGCCATCTGGCTACCATGAGAGATTCGTTCATGAGGCTATCCACATATACAAACACAGAGACAATTTCAACCGAGAAGATGGACTCTGGCTTAGGAATCATTGGAAGGATTTGATAAACCATTTCGGGTCTTAATTGATTGTTCACGCTTACAGTGGCTTTCAGACCGCATCCATTATTTTCGTCTCCCCCCTCCTCTTTTCCGAACATAGATGGACTCGTCCATCTGAATAACTGCCAAATCGCTCTCCGTGGTGCTAACGTTAAAAAAAACGCCAACTTTTTTAAATTTTTCTTGCTGTGGTTGTCACACCTGATTATGATTGCTTGTGTTGCAGTCTAAACGTCGTGAGCATTTAATTGTTTTATATTTCTATTATTTTGTTTCCCTTCTACGTCACTTTACCGAAAGAACAAAGAATATGAATCCCTGCAGTCACGAAAGCTTTAAATCAAGGTGTTAAGATGTTTAAACACCAAACTGAAATCAGTTTCAAAGACGGATTGGTCCAATCAGTTTAAAACACAATGCATATATTATCAGAGTACGTTTTATGTTTGCATTCTGACCACAAGTATTGTGGTTAATTCAGACATGATTCCTTGTAAAATGTTTCAGTTTGGTGTTTTAATATCTTACCACCTGTTTTGTTGCCAGAAAATAAGGGGAGAACCTATTCTCACATTTTGGTACTGGCAAAGGAGGTCTCGTGAAGTGTTATTCATTTTGTATCGCAATTATAATTACGAAATGTTAATTATTGAGATGAATTCATTAATGTAGCAATATGTTGTTAATTATGACAGGGTGTTGCGACTCAATAGCTACTATGAGTGTAACTATTCATATGGCTATTCAAACATTGCTCATCAGGAAAACATTGTAAACGTAATTCTCATCAAGCCCCATGGTGTAAACACGTGCAGTCTGCAACCCTTATTATCAATTCTATCTCTCAATTCTGGCCTCTCTCTCTCTTTATGTGCTGTGAAGAAGGCTCATCGCCCAAAACGTCACCTATTATACATAAGGCCAAAGTATGATTCATCCATGAGAATATAAGAAGATATAGGAATGTGGAATTTCCACCACTGGCTCAGGGCTGTGAACAGGGAACAAGCAACGCCTAAATGGGCATCGTTCGAGCAGAAAATCACTCGACTGGTACCGACACGTCGATTAAAATGTATCACTCCACGCACGACACAACCGTGGAATCGTACGCGTGAGAAGAGATTACTGACAGGAGTCGATGATAAGTCGATGATGATCGGTACGATTAATCGACGGAGGAAACAGAACTTTACAAGCGAGGGAGAGAAGCGACGCGACAATACAATCGAGTCGGCGAAACGGGACCAATGGAATTGGGAGCCGAAGTCGTGAGATGAATTTTAAGCTACTAAAACTATTAACTAAACTATTTATGTTTCACCAGGTAAGGCTCGCTGAGCTATGAAGCTCTTTTTCAAAAGCGACCTGACCGCAAATGATAGCTCAACAAAGTGGCTTATGATGTGGACATTTATAGCAGCAAAAATACTCTAATTGTGTGTTTCTAAAATGTGGAGGGAAAACTTGGGAGGACCCGGAGAAAAATCCACGCGGCCACGGGGTTGAAAGACACAGATATATAGGCTCAGGGTCGCGATCAAAACCCAGGACCTCCTGCATACCAGGCGAGGAATTTAACATCTCGCCACCGGGCCACCCATAATCGCTGTGGAAGGGGATTGTGGGTGAGGGTGGGAACTCAAATATGGACCAAACTAACTGCTCGTAGCTCCACATTTATATGGCAGGGACGAGTCCATCCATAATAATAAAATAATCTAGAGCGTTATGATTCAAAATAGGTTTCTCCCAAGCGCTTATTTCCCAGCATGGGGCGTAAAAAATAATGTAATGGGTGAATCGTTACATTGTTAATTGTTACTGTTTATTAATGTTGGGCGGGGTGGGGGGGGGTATCGAGCCATGGGGGCCCTTGACTGCCACAGCGCCCCCACACGCTCCACCGCATCCACTCAGCGCTTCTACGAATTATTTCAGTTGCCACAGCAGGACCACCCCCTCCCCTACGCGCCCCGTCAGGCTCAGTCACCGCGTTCTACGACTCAGTCACCGCGTCCCACGGCTCAATCACCGCGACCCACGGCTCAATCACCGCGTCCCAGGGCTCAGTCACCGCGTTCCACGGCTCAATCACCGCGTCCCACGGCTCAATCACCGCGTCCCACGGCTCAGTCACCGCGTCCCACGGCTCAGTCACCGCGTCCCACGGCTCAGTCACCGCGACCCACGGCTCAATCACCGCGACCCACGGCTCAGTCACCGCGACCCACGGCTCAGTCACCGCGTCCCACGGCTCAGTCACCGCGTCCCACGGCTCAGTCACCGCGTCCCACGGCTCAGTCACCGCGTCGCACCGCTCAATCACCGCGACCCACGGCTCAGTCACCGCGTCCCACGGCTCAGTCACCGCGTCGCACGGCTCAATCACCGCGACCCACGGCTCTCGCGCACATCGCCTATCACTCCATTCCCCATCATCACAACACCTCCTGCCGAATTCATTACAAAAATCACGTCGTATTTCTGATTTATCTTCAACCCCATATATACATTGATCCGCGATTAATCCACCCTGCGGGTGATTTCATCCGTGCGACAATTTGACAATAATTGCATTTACAATCGGCGCTTAACAATCAATAACACCAACAACACCCCCCTCGCGGTGCATGAATCGGTTAATCAATGCGACCACCACCACGTGGTGTGGAACACTCGGACCCCACGTGGAGTGAGAGGGAGAGAGAGAGAGCGCCGTTTGTTTATCGTGAAGCGAGCCGCGACTGCCGCTGAGAATGCTGATTTCTTTTTTTCTCCTCCTCTGACCGCCAACGCCGCCTCGTCTCGTCCCCCCGGAGCCCGGCTCGCCATGGCAACGCTTTCTTTCATTTAATTGCGGTGGGAACGCGGCTCGGAGTCACCACGCGGCTCCCGCGCCCGTGCACGCACGCAGAGAGACAGAGAGAGAGATGAGCGGTGTGGAGAGCGTACGGAGACCATCGATGAGAGAGCCAAGCGTGGAGATGGTGGGTGGGTGAGAGGGGAGGGGGGGTTGTTGGTGGGGAGCGGTAGTGTAGTGGTTAGCGCGCTGCGCTATGAAACCCGGCGGCCCGAGTTCGATTCCCGCTCACGGCCTCCACCGGTGACAATTATTTGAACCGATCCTGGGCCTCCACTCAGCCTCAAATGAGTACCTAGTGCGGTGTATAGTAAATATCGCCACTTGGGAAACAAAGGCGGTCGGGCGTGGTGCTGGCCACCCACCCCCTCGTCGACCATTCCGGCCTTCATAGGTGCTCGCTAACAGCACTTTCCCCAACAGTCTGTTAAGGTTATTTGTCTTTGTTGGTGAAGAGCTCACGCATTTTGACCTCGCTCAACCTGCAACAAAA